ATGTCAAACATTTAATGTTTGTGGTTAAACAGTCGCACAAAATAGAGATTGTCGTTAGAAAATTTTAAATAGTAAAAAAAAACAATTCCTACAGAATTACTGAATGAGCTGTAAAGGAGAAGGAGACGTCTCTATACATTTTTGGGCCCAAGTGTTAGCAAAATGAAAGTAGGATCATTTGAAAGCGAATATATAAACAAGTCATACCTGCAAATCTAGCAAGATTTGTCAATATAGGAGCTGAGTTATAGTAGAATAAGTAAAAGTGAGATTATCTATTACCTACACTGTAACAGGTGATTTTTCTCTGTTATTGCACTATAATAGGCTATTTTTTATTTACTACAATTATTTAAAGATTAAAGGAAAAGTATCAGTATAATATCACCAAAAAAGCTGTCTTGAATAATGAAATGAAATGGTGAAACGATTCACGAAAGTTAAAACAATAACAACTATACTCGCGACAATCTAAAAAGCCCGATTTGACGTTTCTATATATATGCCGCGATAACTTTGTATGAACGATGACGTAAGAAATCGAAAAATCGAATTCACAATCCTAAATAATTACTATGTTACCCAAAAACTATGACAAAGAGTATTATTCGTAAGCAACAAGTTTCACTTTATATTCGAAAAATGCTCTCAAAAATACGAATTAATCGTTGATTAATATATCCACAGGATGATATTACAATGATATGTCTGTTGATATCTTTGGGTTCGTTGCCGTAGTGTTGTGACCGTTATAAACCATTTTTTGACCAAATAAAATCGATGTTCTGAAAAATCGATACTTTTACATTTAGAAAAGAGAGATTAAAGAGAATTTAATGTTCAAACATATAAAAACTAAATCTGACCACATAAATTTCTAGCTTTATTTTGATATTTAATATATTAATATTGGAAATAGTTTAATCTTGAAAAAATGTAACTTAACCTCAATTTTTTCTCTCTACGTCATTGATTAGACAATACTTCGCGCGCTCTCTCGCTATCTTGGAAGTTTTCGTGTAATTGGTTATTATTATATTATCTGACTCGAGTATCACTCTTGGACTATTTCTGCTATATTCGTTGACCTTGGCTTGCTAATTCCGAACTTTGATTACGCGTTATATTATTTTGGTGTTATCGTGTGTACTAGACAACATGTATAAAAGAAGACGTACTTTAAACAGCCAGTCTCGTGACTTGGTTTTGAAGTTGCACGAGTACTTTGAACGGGAGTCAGCAAATAGAGGGCCTCTTTTATAAGTTACCCAAGTACAAGAACGAGTCGCACAAGCGTTTGGAATTGGCATAAAACTGTCCGAAATATTATAAAGGAAAAGTGTGGGACTTTTGGCTGTGAAGATAATGTACTTCACACACCCAAAAAGCAAAATAAAAACAAAAACCTGTGACAGCAATCGATAATTTTGATGCTGATGCTATTAGATCTTATATTTACGACTACTACACAAGACAAGAATACTCCACCATAAGTAAATTACTTGTGTGCTTTAAATCTGCAAACTTATATTATAATGGCAGTGCAACTTCTATAAATATAATTCTAAAAAATATTGGGTTTTCATACAAAAAAACCGACAAACGGAAAATATTGATGGAAAGGTATGACATATTACTACAAAGAATATCCTTCTTAAGAGAAGTTAATAAAATAACCAACTGGGACAAGGATATATTTATTGACGAGACATGGTTAAATGCCTGTGCCACAATCTTGGACGTATGAGACGCAAGCATCCAGCTCCAAAGTTCCAATGGGAAAGGGTGGACGCCGCATTATTTGTCATGCTGGATCTGCCGGGGAAGCTTTTATAAAAAATTATTTGTTGGCATTAAGATAAGAATTGAGAATAAAAATGTTACGAATTCAGTGAATTTATTTATTTACCTGACCCAACCACACTTATTTATTGTTAATTTTATTCTTGACTAGCGAAGCCAAGGCTTTGTACGGGTGCATATCAGTTGCGTGCCTATATAATATACAATGTATTTCAGATTTTAGTTTGTCTCTTGGCTTGAAACTGGCCTAAATTTAAACTTAGTTTGGTTTTATGTAATAACTGTTAAATATTACAAACTAGTACATGTATTAAAACGATATGCCTTGAGAATCAATTTTAAACAATGTCCATTACAAACTCTAAATAATCGATATGTCTCGAGAATCGGTTTTTAAAGCAACCTATTTTTTCCCATCATTACGCAAAGTATTTTTATAGCTGTCAAATCGGGCTTCTTAGATTGTCACGAGTACAAGTTAAGTGTATTTTAGGGATATCGATCTGAGATCGATTACTTGAATTGTTGCTGTATCTGTTTCTTGATGGAATGTTGATATTTTGTGTTTTTTATTATTATTTTATAGATGTACCTACGCAATTATTTTTGATCTCCCTAGTCAACACAGAAAAATAATCGAAAATAGATTTCATCGAGAACAGATTATATTGCTCTCGTTTCAAATCGTCTTTTTCTTTTAACTAAATAGTTTGAACTGTCATGTCAAGTTTCAAAATTAGAAATCCTCTATTGGAAGATAACGTTCAGAAACGAGAATTTCACTAGTGTATTCTTTATGGTAATCGGTTTATTGCTATAAAGAATACACTACAATCGATTTTCTAACTTATTTCTTATTTTATTGTTTTTTCGAATTCTAGATAACAAAAAGAGCTACTTTTTGTATTGTACTTTAGAAAAATATGGCCGATTTTTTAAAGTATAAACAAATTAGTTAACTTCAGGCCCAAAAATCTCATTCTCCTTTTGTATAATCCTTTTCAATATTGTGTGTGTGTCAAAGGAAAACAAAGTTTATATAACATTTTTATTTATTTATTTATTTAATATTTTTACATGCCTTATAAAAAGGGATGAAAAGGGCGGAATTAATTGTTTACGGTATTCTTTAAATGTCAACCCTGGATGATTTGAAAAACAGTCGCAGATGTAAAAAAACACTATATAAATAAATAACTAATAAAGATTATATCTTACAAAAAATACTAATTGATACAATAAATAGAATATATTTATAAAAAATATACATACTTAATATCTACTTTATAATCAAGAATGAATAATAAATATATAAACGGGTACATATATACAAAATCTTAAACTAAATATAAAGATATAATACATAAATGAAATAGGAATACATACTATTTTACAAAATATAACTGATAAAACGAAAGAGAGGAAAAACAGAAAAAAGTCAGATAAATCAAGTGGTATTATTCTTGTAATAGAATTCCCTAACTAATCTCTTCAAATATTTCTTGTTGCTAGTTTTCTTGATATCAACAGGCAGGGTTTTCCAGAGCAGTATGGACTGCAAAGTAAAAGAGGAATAAAAGAAAGAATCTTAAGAATATTTTGGGAACGGGGAACTCTATCATGAGTAGAATACAGATACTGAAAGTTATCCTTAAGATAAGGAGGAGACTTTGTGAATAGGAAATTGATCTCTTTTTAATAGTAAAATGCTGTAATTTGCTCAATCGACCTTTACTTGATCTCTAAATTTTACAACGACGACAGGTACAACATTTTTTAAACAAACCTACACAGCTTACGGACTAATATTGGCATGAGAACTGCTAATATAATTTGACAGGCGCTTCAACATGCCCCCCGGCGTTGAAAGTCTACCTTTCAACCAGATTCTTCAGGTTCAGGAAGCGGACAAATTTTGCTAAATGATCGGCGAACTATACCAGTCGATGTTTTGATATCCGCCACCCTTGATACGCCGTCCGAGCCTGGATGGACTGCGACGATGCGACCCATCTTCCACTTTAATGGCGGTGAATTCTCCTCTTTTAGTAGTACCAGTGAATTTAACTTCAAAGAGCCTTTACAGGAACGCCATTTCATCCGCAGTTGAAGCTCTGATATATATTCCTTGCTCCATCTAGCCCAAAAATGTTGACGTAATTGTTCTATTCGTTGAAATCGGGTTAAAGAGCTTACGGAATGATCTTTATAGTCTGGTGTCGGCAAGGAAGTCAAGGGGCGTCCAATCAAAAAATGACCGGGCGTTAGTGGTAGCAAGTCTTCAGGATTCGTTGACAAAGGTGTGAGTGGTCTGGAGTTAAGTATAGCCTCAATTTGTATTAATGTGGTATTTAGTTCCTCGTAAGTCACATTACAATTGCCCAGCACTCTAACTAAATGATATTTAATGCATTTGACACCAGCCTCCGCAAGCCCAGCAAAATGGGGAGAATAAGGCGGTATGAAATTAATTCCTTCATTTGCCATTACCTCAGATAAAGAATTACAATACGTCTTAATAAATTTTGAAATGTCATTGTATGCGCCTACAAAGGAGGTACCATTATCCGAATAAATATTAAGAGGTTTCCCTCTTCTAGACATAAATCTGCGCAAAGCTAATATGAAGGTATTGCTAGTTAAATCACCCACTAATTCAAGATGAATTGACTTAGTCGCGAAGCAGATAAAAATAGCTATATACACCTTTACAATTTTACAACCACGGCCATGGCGAGAAACAGATTGAATTGGTCCCGCATAGTCTAGTCCAATATTTTGAAATGGAAAACCAGAAAGGATGCGTTGGTGTGGTAGGTTGCCCATTATTGGAGAGATTGTTTTTCCTTTCATTCTATTACATCTTATACATTGTCGATAACAAGATCTGGCCAAATTACGACCTCTAATCGGCCAGTACATCTCTCTTATAGTGGCCAACATTAGCTGTGGTCCCGCGTGCATTAACCTTATGTGCTCATAATTGAAGAGCAATTTGGTAAAATAATGAGTGGACTGTATAAGTATGGGATGTTTTTTCTCATAACAGTAATCGGAATTTTCAAGACGCCCTCCAACACGCATTATTTTATTATCATCGAGAAATACATTAAATTTATGCAACGGACTTTTAGTGGGTAAACTTTTATTTTTAATTAACATGGTGTATTCCTCAAATGATTCACTCTGGGATATTCTTATAATAACATTGAGTGCGGTTTGCAACTCTTGATTGCTGCGTGAACGGATTGCTTTCTACAATTATTAATAAAACGCAGCACATAAGCAACGGTCCGATTTAATCTAGTATATTTAGAAAAGCGTTTAAATTCAATTAATTTATTCCCACCTAAATCTTCATTGTTGCTAGAATGAAGTATTCCGTGGAGGATAACATTTGACGATTTAATCTCAGGCAACTCGTGATTAATACTTAAGAAATTTGCAGGCCAGTGAGAGACCTCTTTCTTTAAAAATTCAGGTCCTGACCACCACTTACTCATGGATGAAATATCCTTACAACTCACACCGCGAGAAATATGATCGGCCGGATTACACTCTGTTGGGACATGCCTCCACTCGCAATTTCCAGTCTTCTCTAATATTTCAGCAACCCTATTTCTGACAAAGGGTTGTAGCTTGCTAGGTAACACCTTTAACCATCCTAACACGATGGACGAATCTGTCCAAAAGAAAGTGCGCTTAGCCTGTTGTCTCAGCGATGCTACAACCTTTTGGTAAAGGCGAGCTCCAACAAGTGCACCACAAAGTTCCAGTCTTGGGATTGTTATAGGTTTAAGCGGCGCGACACGACTTTTCGCCATCAATAATTGAATTAAAACCTCACCCTGATCATTAACACTACGCACATATAAACAGGCGCCATATGCTCGCTCAGAAGCGTCCGAGAAAATATGAAATTCAAACAAACTAGGCGAGTCACAAATAACACGACGTGGAATACGTAGAGTATTTAATTTAGGTAAATCGACTATTATCTCAGCCCACATCTTGCTGATTTCTGGCGTCAACTGCTCATCCCATGACAGCTTGAGCAGCCACAACTGTTGAAGAAGCATTTTCATCTTAATTACACAGGGAGATAGAAGTCCTAGTGGATCAAAAATCTGAGAAATCACAGATAACATATCACGCTTTGTTCTACCTGAGAATAGCCCTCCTATAGGGAAACAAAGTTGGTCAGTATGTGATTGCCAACCAAGGCCTAAAGTTTTAGTCGGTTCAAAGCCACCAATATTCAAATCAAGCGGAGAAATATCATTCTCACTAACCAGTTGAGATTCATTCGACTTCCACTTTCGCAAAACCATATGAGCTGATGCAAGTGTGGAAGTCACTTTACGGCGCAAATCTGTAACCTCGTTAATATCATCCCCTCCCGTTAGCAAGTCATCAACGTAAAAATCGTGAATGATCACTTGAGCAACCTTGTCATCGGTACACTCTAAGCCTAATTGTTGGAGGCACCTAGTTGCCAAAAAGGGAGCACTAGAGGTGCCGTAAGTCACGGTGTTAAGTTGATAAGCTTGAAGCTGTTCTGAAGGGTTATCACGCCAGACAATTTGTTGCAAATAGCGGTCATCGGGATGAATGACTATTTGCCGGTACATTTTCTCAACATCAGCTGTGAGAACGTATTTGTGTAGCCGAAAGCGTAAAAGAATGGACAAAAGGTCGTCCTGTACCACGGGACCTACCATCTGTATATTATTTAAGGAAACACCCGAAGAAGTCGGACTGCTAGCATTGAAAACGACTCTTAATTTAGTAGTAGTACTACTTTCCCGAAGCACACCGTGATGTGGTATAAAATGCATCTTACGTGGTAAATTATCATTCTCACATTTCTCCATATGACCCAGACTTTCATACTCTGACATAAATTCTTTATACATTTCATAGACCTGAGATTGACCTGCTAACCTGCGCTCTAGCGATAGTAAACACTTTTTAGCTCATGGCCAAGAATCACCTAATACGTCAGGATTATGTTTTAAGGGTATCCTCACGCAAAATCGACCATTTGCCAGTCGCGTGGTGTTTTTTAAAAAGTGTTCTTCGCATAATTTTTCTTCGTTTGAATAAAGAGACGCAGGGCTTACTTCTTCGAGGTGCCAGAAGCGTACTAATTGTTTTTGTATATCTTCATCTAAATCTTTACTAGCCTCATCTTGAAATATTCTTGTAAAATTACATTTAATAAAGTTAACCCCTTTCTTTACATATCTATAATCTATCGGACCTGATACTAACCATCCTAAGCTAGTTTCACAAAGAATCGGCTGACCGTCCCCTAATTTTAATCTCTGGGTTCCTATTAAGTCCCAAAAGACATCAGCACCTATAAGCATGTCAACGGGAGCAGGTGAGGATCTGCCAGAGAAATATTAGATGGAATTTTTAAGTTTGACAAATTAACATATCTAGTAGGTACATTTTGGGTTATTGATGGTAGGACAAAACAATGAAGATTACTAGAGAAGTTATCATTCAATGATTTTATCGATACCTTACAAATCTTCTTGATGTGTGCCGAAGCATTATTAATACCGACTACCGACTGATTTACATTTTGAGCGGGCAAACCTAGCCTTTGATATAACTCTTCAGTTATTAAACAAGCGTTACTGCCACTATCAAGAATAGCACGAGCAATATATGGACAACCATTCTTACCTATAACTTTAATTAATGCCGTCGATAACAATACGTCGCCTTGTTCACTACACGATGCAGTGCCTACCTTTGCGGATAATGACAGATGTGCGTTAGAATTGGATGACAACTGTGAGCCTGTCGAACTGTTTGTTTGTTCGAAATGACCTTGCATAACGGGCTTATTATTACCACTACTCGTGTTAGATGTATTAATATCTGTAATTGGTTTTGACTGGTAATCTGCGACGTGCACGAGAGTGTTATGCTTTCGGTGGCATATTTTGCATCCTGGCTTTTTGCAGTGATTTGCATAATGTCCTGAATTAAGACAATTGAAACATACTTTATACTCTGGCAGTAACTGTAGACGCACATCGTTACTTAATCCAAGAAACTGAGGACAACTGCTTAACTTATGGTCACCCTTACATTTAGGACACAGTTTGGCGGAAAAGGCCGAACCGTTTTTATTACCGGTATCCCGCACTGAAACCATTGCCTTAACTTTTGGAGCATATTTTATAGAAGAATTTAAACGGTTAGTAGCACCAGAATTAGACATTTCTAGTGTTTCGATTAAATCGGCTCAATTTTTTAAAAACATCAAAAATATATCGAACGTAATAGGTGTATCTTTCTCCAAACGACCTTTAGACTCTTCCCATTCACGATATGTCTTAGCATCTAATTTTTGAGTAATAATATGAATGAGAAGTGTGTCCCATTGTTTAGTTGGCTCACCGAGAGATTCTAGTGCACGTAAATTTTTATTTATTTGGTCAATAAGACGTTTTAAGTTGACAGACAATTCTTTATTAATTGGTGCTATATTAAATAAGGCTGTCACGTGATTTTGAATTAGTAGTCTTTTATTATCATATCTATCACATAATATAGTCCATGCGACGGTGTAATTAGCTGCCGAGAATTCGATTGACTGTATTACCACAGCAGCGGGCCCTTCCAACGACGCTCTCAGATAGTGAAACTTATTTATGTCATCTATCTTGTCATTTGAATGTATGAGGCTCATGAACGTGTCATGAAACTCTAACCAATTATCATAAGAACCATTAAATTTAGGTAGTTGAATAGTGGGCAGTTTAACAAATTTATGATTGCCGGAATGAGAGCCACCGTCACTGCTTACGTCATCTGACTTAATGCAATCTGCTAAGATTCTTTTTGCAAGAGAAAGCGATTTAAAATACAGGGATTCAAAATCAGTTCGTTCTGATATCTGGGCGTCTATATTATCAGTATTACACTCGATGGATAATTGTACCTCATCATATCGTTCATACATTGACTCAATCCTACTAATACGTAATTGCAACTCATTTACCTCAGTAGCAGCCAATGAAGATACCTTCAGTGAATTTAAATAATTTGAAAAAGCTGTTATTTGTCCCTTGTAACTAGCTCGTTTCCTAATTTGCTCCTTATCTTCTGGCATGCTGGCTGGTATTGGGAGACTAGTGCAAATGCCTGAAATTTATACAAACAAGAAGTTTATATTTTATAAAATATAATTCATAAGTAGTTTTATACAATTTTGCTTACAGTTGTAAAGAAATGAAAACTAATTCCCTTACTTATTTTTCAAACTCTTAAATAATTAAACAAAATGGTACATGTACTACCTTGATATTTAACTTTATAATTAACAACAATTAAGGGTAACAAATACAATTCAGACCATCAAACAGCTTCACAGGTATGCCTTAGTATGTAATAAATAATAGTATGCAATTTTATCAATTATACACTCTCTTGACTTATTTTTTTTTTTAAAAACAGTTTAAACCAATAAAGAGAAAAAAAAATTATAATATCGTCAATATAATTTAACTACGCTTTATAATTTGATTTAATCATGATTTGACGGTTATTAGAAACTATATAAAACAATATTAAATGAATTTTAGCCGATTAAATACTTTAAGTTATACGTAATTATTTTATAGGTAATTTGGTACTAACCTGATAAATTAGCAGTCGATTTACACAAAATACTACCTGATAATGAGTGCTGGGTTAAATAAATTAAATAATAGTCCAATATCTAAGGGGCTAAGACCCCAGATTTCTTGGTTAAATATCTTCACTCCCTCGGTGGTATTTCCACAACGAATATTTAAGACTTCCCAAGCGTATTCCACTAAATAATATCTTGTCCAATTACGTTTTTTCAAATCCGGCTTCGATTTAGGACCATGAATAGGAAATTGATCTCTTTTTAATAGTAAAATGCTGTAATTTGCTCAATCGACCTTTACTTGATCTCTAAATTTTACAACGACGACAGGTACAACATTTTTTAAACATACCTACACAGCTTACGAACTAATATTGGCATGAGAACTGCTAATATAATTTGACAGGCGCTTCAACACTTTGGGTCATTTAAAATTGAATATAGTATTTATAATATTCGGGAGCTTTGACAAATAGAAAGCCATAATATTTTGTGTATTAGATATCTGTGTATTATATATATTATTGTACAGTAGAAATTGAAATACAGCTAGCGTAATATACAAACCTAAAAGATAGCTAATTTCGACACAAGGCGATTACAGGTACTAATTATTTCTTTATTATAACAAGAACGTTGTAGCTGTTTTTTAATAGAATATGGGTGACAAACAAGCATACAGTCCACCTGATGTTAAGTGGATGCTGAAGCCCAAATACATCTAAATCTATCCGCAATTAAGAATCAAAATATAGATGCGTCATCGCCTCGGAGAAATAAGATGACAGGCCTCGTCACCAGTTAAAAGGATCTCCTGTTATTTACACTCACCACACGTAACGTAGTATTGAGCTGCTTTTTTACAATGGTACTCTAACAGAGCGTGGTCTTTCCCCGGTCGAGCCAACCCATTCATGCTACACCTATAATATAGCTGCAGCGTGAGCGTCACCTTAAAGGACAAAGTGGAATGCCTCACAGCCTGTAGTTATACCGGCTCTCAATATCCTTTAGACCGGAATACAGCAGAGCAAGCACTGCTATTTAGCGATAGAAATAGGTAAGAGCTAACCAGATGGATTCTTAGATAAAAAAAGATATCCACAAGACAAACTTGTAAAAGTAAATAAGGTAATAATTTAAAATTAAAAAATTTGTACAACCGACTTCTATAAAAATTATTCAGAAAAACTCAAAAACTATTGGTCAGATCTTGATTAAATTTACATGGGACCACAAGTGAAGCACCAGCTTTCAAATAAAGAAACAATCATCGAAATTGTTTCACCCAGTAAAAAGGTATGAGGTAACCCACATAAAAAGAAAACATACAGTCGAATTGAGCAATGGCTCCTTTTTGAAATCGGTAGAAAATAACGACTACCAACTACCATCTACTAAAAGTAAATGTTAATATTTTTTATACTATTTTATTACTAATTATAATCTTGAAATTAATAATCATTCTTCATTTAAATTTTCCAACAATCTGTTGCTGGCGACTTTGCAAATGTACGTGATTTTATGAATGTGAATAACTGAATGACGAATTAGGTACAACGTTTCGGTAACGTGACTTCGATTACCTATGCCGGTTAAATCTAAAAGTGGATTAATTTGTTTCATTACATATTTATATAATGAAACAAATACATCCACTTTTAGAATATTTATATAACAGTAGTATGTAGTTATTAAGGGTTAATAGTTTTAATCTAGGGTCCCTTAAACATATACTTATACATTATTTATACACGTGATTTTTGTCACTTGGTTACAAACTCAGCTTCTTGTTTCACAGTACTCATTATATAAAACAACCGGTTTTGCCACATCACTAATAAACTTCGCATTTTTTTTCTCTTTAAACTTTTGGCTGCTTTAAACCTTCATATAATCGTTAATATTTATTTATTAATAATTTAGAGTCTATTGAAAGTCCACTGCTCAATATAGGCCTCCATTATAGATTGCTTCACAACCGCTGTTTTTTATTTTTTATTTTTAGTTATTATTAGGAAGACACTGCTACCCATATTTTGGTTCCATGTTTAGGACACTCACGAGGCTATATGGGGAAGTGGATATCCTAACACAGCTACTGCGATTGTTAATATTGTTCGTAAATAATACAGAATTCGAGAAAATCGACTGTCTTACAATTATTATAATCGTATCGTATCGTAGGTTTATTGCAAATATACGCACACATTGACCACGTAGTATATACAAGAATTTCATGTTCTTTCTATAATATCCCAGAGCAACCTATCTATATCTTATTCGACTATGACTAGTACACAAAGGTGGCGACCTATCTTGCGGCCACGACACCGACGACGCCGACTTGTTCTATCACCGGAAGAGCGGTATGTCCTAAGGAGGTATCATATTTATACAACAACAAGGGCTGAACGCCTTAACGTAAAAGGATCTCCCTTTGCACAAAAACATTTATTAAAAGAAAGATTTTACGTGGTAGAGCCATGCTGCAGCTATATTATGTTTGTAGCACGAATGGGTCGGCTCGACCGGGGAAGGACCACGCTCTCACAGAATACCAGCGTAAAATAGCAGCTTAAAGCTGCTGTGTTTCGTATGGTGAGTGTAGAGAACCGGCGACCCTTTTTACTGGAAACGAGGCATTCCATCTTGGTCCTCACGGGTGACAACGCATCTGTATTTTGATTCTTGGTCGAAGATAAATGTAGATGTCTATGGGCCACAGCAACCACTTACCATCAGGTGGACTGAGTGCTCGTTTGTCACCCTTATCTTATATAAAAAAAGATATGAATATCTTACATCTGACAAAATTAGGCACCTTAAATTACTTTTTACTAATCATTATTTATTATTACAATTATATAGGTGGCACGAATTCCCTTAATTCAACAAATTGCAGGTACACCGAAAAGTGGCTATACTTAGAAAGCACTCGGCCGATTTCTTTTCTTTTTTACGAAATTCTTTAACTTTCTTCTTGGAATTCGAACAAAAATGGTTAAAAAATTGGCTTAATATAAAGTCTTCGAACTTTCAGTGAAACCTCTTCAGTTCACAAGATACTTCGCACTCAAACACGGCTGTGCTGACCTATTTATTGATCAAGGCTTCTAGTCGAGTGATTGATGGAGAGGAATTAAATTGAAGCTAATTATATGTGCTTCAAAAAGTTAGAAGTGACTCCAAATTATTCAGACTCGTTCAATAGTCTATCTGTCTATAATTAAAATAACGTTCAAGTGGCTCGTTGAAAATCTTTCTATTATCTTCCCGTTAGTTCAAGAAATCACAGTCGATTCCAACAACAGTTCAACTAACAAAAATTTGTGATTATCATGTATGATGTGCTATATTTCTCCGAATCTCTGACATTACATTCAAGCCTACCATCGATATTATCGCAATTTTTCTCATTATCGATGGTACATAATATATACGATTAAAATTTGGAGGACGATAAATAGAATGTAGTGTGATAATGCAAAGTTCAATTAAAATATAATTGTGACGCTTTTTGACTTTCATATTACTACATTTAAAGTGCTTTTTCTATGCCAAGACATTGTTTATGAACCTATAGTATGAGTACATAAACATTTACTGCGCCATTGTTTGTAACAGTAAGGATGACAATCGAATACACATTCCACCCGATGGTAAGTGAATGCTGTAATATAGCATAACATTACATAGCATCTTATAGCAATCTTTGATTAGGAATCAAAATGTAGTTGCGTTATCAACCATGAGGAACTAAAATGGAATGCCTAGTTACATTAAAAATAATTACGTTTTTATTTTACACTGGTATTCTGTGGGTTAGCTCAACCAGGGAAGGCCATGCGTGTTGCAAACATAATGAAATAAAATGTAGAATAAGCAGACGCAAAATTATCAGTAAGTTCCCTCGATAGGTATAAATATTTTAAACTTTCATCCACTTCCCAGAAATTGAACTAACTTTCCATGCAGTTAAAGTTAGTGTTCAGTAATAAACCGCAACTCACAAAATTTATACCGAGGCACAATGATCTGCTGCGATCGGAGCGCCGGTTACACCTAGTGGCAACATTGCGACGTAATATGCGTTGTAATAATCTGTGGAGTTAAAAAAAAGGAAGAGGAGGGTAGGAGGCGAGACAAGCCATAGACATTCTCTTTGTGTTCGTGATGTGAACATCTCTCCAAAAACTTTAAAAAGGGACTACTCCAGAGTGTACCGTGTACAATCTAATTGCTAGTGTATTCTACCGTGTAGAAGAAGCTACCAGGAGCTGTCAACGTTTGCTGATCTTGGGAGGCTGACTAGTAAGACCGTGAGTAGTTTATTGCTGTTTTTGGTGTGATTTTGTGACTGCGGTAACTGAACGTTTCAGGGGATTTAGAATATCAATACAGTCCACTATATCTAATAAAATAATCCCAATCCGCCACATTTCTGGCCTTCGAGCCGCATATATTCGAATTAGTGA